CACATACCTTAGGGATTTTCTGGTTTCTTTCTTTTTTCTTTTTTTTTTTTTTTCTGCCTTCCCTAACAAGTAAATGGTAGCAATCGCAATAGCTAAAAGGAACTGAGCTTTTAATGTTTAATCAGAGCATCCTAACTAACAAGTAGACACCGTTATGACACTCTCCATTTTGCAGAAGGGGAATTGAGGCCTGGGGTGACTCCCCAGGTCACACAGCTCACAAAGACTATAGAGATTTAACACGGGAAGATTAACTCCGGAGTCTGGATGCTTATCACCAAGTGAGGCTGCCGACATGGCCTCTGCTTAAACAGGCAAAAATGTGGAAAACAGAGCAGGCACTCTAGAAATCTTTGCTGAATGGGGAATAAATCATTTTCAAGTTTTCTTTGTTGTATTCTTTTAAGTGTGGCCCATCTCTATCTCTTAGCATCTCTCAGCTGTGATGTTGCAATATTCTTCCGATTTCTTCCTCCAATCTCTCTTTCTCCCAACCCAATTCCTACATTGCTAAAAGAGTTGTCTTTCCAACAGAACACTGCCATCATGTCACTTGCTTAAATCCTTCAGTGACTCGTCACTTCCCGTAGCATAAAGCCCAAACTCCTCAGCAAGGCTCTCTGAGCACCTCCCAAATCCAGCCCGCTCCCCACTCCTCCTCGGCCTGCTTACCACTGCTTCCCATACGTCTCAGCTGAAGCCACACTGACCATTGCTGCTCCTTCAAAGGGCCACATATGTCCCTAGGATGCCCTTCACTGTGACCTATCGAATGAACCGCCACCTGTATTCCACATTTCTGTTCGAATGCGTGATGGTGAAGAGCCTGGGAAATGTGTTTGGACCACCCAGGAGTGAGTCCTGGACCCTCCGCTTACTAACCAGGTGATCTTGAGCATGTCACGTCACCTTCGGCTGCCTCAGTTTCCTCGTCTGCAGATGGGCACAAAAGACTATCGTCATAGAGTAGTTGTGGGGACTAAAGGAGATAAATAGCCACAAAAATCTCCCCTGTTTGCCTCGCTGGGGCTCCCATTTCTCCACATACTCCAAATAGGTCCATGCCAACGAATTCCAATCATTGGCGTACGTGCCTCTTCCTCCAGGGTTTCTCAGTCTATCGACTGTTTAGTTCTTTGTGATGTGGGGCTATGCTGTGCTTTGCAGGATGTTCTGCAGAATCCCTGGCCTCTGCCCATAGATGTCTGTAGCACCACCCCGCCCCCCACCCACCCCGAGTTGGGACAATCAAAAACGTTTCCATTGTCAGATGCCCCTTGGAGGCAAACCTCCTCCCCATGAAGAACCAGTGCTTGAAACTACCAGCTCCTTGAATAATACTATAAACAGCAGCTGCACGGCAGCAATAGCTGTCTTTTCCCGAGCACTCACCAGGGGCCAAGCACAGTTCAAAGCTCTACCATGAATTATAGAATTTAATCCTCTCAACACCCTAAGGGCGGGGGATTTTAGACGCATTTTATTGATAAAGAAACTGGATCACAGAGAGGTTAGTAACTTGCTCTAGGTGCGTCTTTATTCTCAGCCCTTCCATCCCCAACACCGAGCATGTTACCTGATAAAACAGGAGCTCCATAGCAACTTAAAGAATGTTTATACGAATGATCAAATGAATGAATGAAAGGATGAACAAAGAAGGAATAAATGAAAGAATAAGAAGGTTTCCTCCACATCAGCAAGCCATCCGGCTTCACCTCTAGGGGACAGTGAGCTGTCAGTCTCCTCTGGAGTCCCACAGTACCCCATAGAGTAGTTTAATTCATTGATAGATCCCTCCCCAGCTATGGCTCCTCTAAGCTATCCAGGCATCTCGTGGGGGGTCTGCTGTTCCAGATACTCTGTTTTTGCCATTGATAACATGAATCACGACTTCCAGCTCACATTTATGAAGGGCCGCTCAGTCCAGCCAAGAGTCCCAGCACTACCAGATAAATACCATCGATCTAATTTTCTACCTGTCAGTCACTCCTTTCAGACTTTGGGGAGATACGATAATACTATTTTTTATAGCTTGAAACACAGCACACCGAAAACCCTCCCAACGACTGTGTTTCTTATGAGCACTATATACAGTGCTGCTCGGGCATAACGTGAGAGAATGCTGCCTGGCCCATAAGTGTGGACATTTTCATCCTGTGAAGAATTGGTGAACTGAAGGGCAAACCACAACGATTTGATTTTTGACTAACACAGATTCAACATTTAAACCTGCTTAACCTACAAAAACTGAAGACAAACACAAGTGTAAATCCTGCAATCACGGTAGATGGGGATCTTAGAGTACCCCAGGTCCCAGACTGCTATTTTACTGGGTACAGAAGAAAGAGAGAGAGAAATGCTCTCCGTTAGAGTCCAGAAACTTCAATGTTTCGACTCTGCTAAAATTCTAGAAAGTGTAAAATATAAAGCAAATGTTTAAGAGAGAGTGGAGCTTATGATAAAGCAAGACCTACTTAAGGGATTGTAGACTCACTGGGCGAGGCAGGGCAGAGTCAGACAGACCTCACTCTGAATTCCGGCTCTGCCGCTCCAGTGGTTGCAAAGTTACTCTACCCCTTTTAGCCTCCATTTTCTCACCTATAAAATGGGCATAATAATAATACCAACTTAGAGGGTTGTTGGGAAGATTAAATGAGATAATGGGTGTATAGTGCCTAGTTCATAGCAGGTGCCTAATAAAGGGTAGGTTTTTTTTTTATTGTTATAGAAATGATACACACATACACACATCTCATTTCATAACAAAACCTCTGAGACCAAAATAGGGAATGGGTCTTAATGGCAGCACCAGAATTAGAACTGCTAAACCCACCCCGCAAATCCTGTCATTCATTCCGGCCTCAGAGCCCTTTCATAAAGGAGAGAGCCAAAGAATGGATGATATAGAAATACTGAGTTAATAAACAAATGCACAGACAAGCTCATCTATCTCACAGCATCACCGATGTTATAGATCTATGGATATCTCATTCCAAAAGCATTGCTCTACTGGCCAAGAATTAGATGCAAAGCAATACATAGGCTACCCATGGATGCAAAGATAATAAGACATGATCTCTTTCCTCAAGATCTCACTATCTAAGGACAGAAAATTCAAGCATGAATCTAGACTCAACTTGGACCATGCTTTAGGTTATTATATATATTGCAACTAAATAAAAAGGATCTCACCACATATCGAAACAGCATGTATAAATGTAGCTGCATTCTTAGTTAAAACTACTCCGCAATAATTTCCTCCATTCTCTGTGGCGTTCCAGGCCTTAAATCTGGCACAGATTAATACAACGCTCTCATCACCACATTTGGTAGCATTTTCTCAAGAAGCATAAAAAAAAAAAAATAAGATCATCCAAGAAAGAATAGTATGAAATGTTGCCCTTGATTTTTACCATTTAAAAGTTTTATTTGTTGGCACAGGGATATAAAATACAGCATAGGGAAGATTGTCGATAATATTGTGATAACCATGTATGGTACTAGACCTAGCAAGAGATCACTTTGTAAATTATATAAACTTCTAAGCACTGTGTTGTACACCTGAAACTAATATGAAATAATATCGAATGTCAACTGCAACTGAAAAATAAAAATTAATCTGAAAAAATTGTTTCATAAAAGCTTTATTTTTTAATAAAAATTGTAGGGCATAGGTATGAAACCATATTTATTCTCGGGGGAAACTGTGTATTTTTATTTACTTAAAAGTCAAGTCAGATTATTAAAACTAATTTAAAAGAATACACTTACTATGAAAGTGCCAGATTATAAGTAGCCTCAGAATTGCCCTACCCTACGTAATTTGAGATAGATAGATAGATAGATAGATAGATAGATAGATAGATAGATAGATAGACAGACAGACAGACAGACAGACAGACAAGCAGATAGATAAAAAGTCTGCCAGACTGGCGAATCCTACAGACTCCTGAGTTGTAGTCACCATTAAAATTTGATGCCCATAATCTCAGTGCCAGAGGAATCATGAAAACCTTCTTTTCCATCCCTCTGCCTTGCAAATTTTAGAGCCCCAGGAGACTCTGCCTTGCTTCCATAAATGTCACCGCCTTCCACCATGACCAACTCTTCATGGTTCAAGAGGGCATGTAGGATAGGAAATCAAACTTCAGCCTCAGAGGCAGCCATCCTCCCTCATCTCCAAGGTGAAGCCCTCCAGCTGGGCTCCCAACTGTCTCTCTTTCTTCCTCGGTTGTCTCTGCCCTTCGCAGACTTCTCAAGCCTCCTGTTGCATTTCCTCCCATCACACCGCCTTAGATGACTCTGCTCTCCCACGGCCCTTCCCAGACACGGAGCACCCTCGCCAAGGCCACCTCCACCCTCTGCTCTCACTGCCTTGCTTCTCTAGGTGGCAGCCCACATTCTCAGCCTCCATTTTTTATGGATCTTTTTTCCTTAATATCCAGTGTATGTAAGGGCCTTCGGACAGTGCCTGACACACAGAAAGTGTTCAAAAACAGCAGCCTTGATGATTAACTGCCATCCTTATTACTCCATCCCCATCAAGCACCAAAATGGTTATTCCCAAGTCACCATCACCAACAGCCTCCTCATCCCACATTCGGTGGCCTTTCCTCTAGTCTATCCTCACTGACTTTGGGCTACTTAACACATCCCTGCTTATTTAAAATTCTTTCTTTAGCTTCTAGGTCACCCTCTTACCCCCAGCATCTCACACAGACTTCAGAACCAGGAAATTAATCAGCATACATAGGTGGGCTTGAATCTGAAAATCCACAGCCCTTTTGCCTGCTGCCACCTCTACGCCCACATCATCACATGCCTCACTCTCTGGCTTCTTCGAGGTCTCAATTCAAACGTCACCTCCCTGGAGAGAACCTCGTCGACCATCAGGAGCATCTCAACCAAAGACAGATAATCCCAGAGCCAGAAAGATTAAAAAATCGACGCTGTCCTCTCTCCCCACAGGTTGTCTTATGGTAGACTCAGTCTCTGCTCACCTGGATCAACGTCTCCAGCTCCTGCGGGCTCACACAGATATGATCCCGCAGGAATTCTGCCTTCTCCAAGGCGATGGTGTTCTTCTGACTGCTCTCGAAGGGCTGCTCCAAAGCCCGGAAGACGAGCCCGCCTGTGACGAGGTACACCACCACGACCACGAAGATGGCAACCACAGTCTTCCACTTCATGACGGTCTGCAGGCCCCCCTGGGAGGTGCCTTCCATCCTGGCTACCACCGTGGCTCGGGAGGAGATGGAGAGGCGTGGGGCCGGGTAGCGCCCGTTAGTGGCACCCTTGGGCTGGCACACCGGGGGCACTGCTGCGGGAACGGCCACTGGGAATCGGGGTGGGAGAGAGGGGAGAAGAGATGTTTATAAACACAAACAACAAAACTGCTCAGAACCCAGCACGGATGTCTTCCTCCAGCCAGCTTTCAAATGTGAGGATTAATCATTGGTTCACCAAGCCTACATTTAGGGAATTTGATCGGTTGCCTGTTCAAGTTTGGGGGAAAAAAATGAGCACCAGGATACCTAGTTTTAAAAAATAGTTATTAATTGAGTTTGAAATGCTTATATTTTTCTACGAGGGTCCAAATTTGAAAGCCATGTCTCTGTAAGTTATCAGTCATCTGCCCCCTTAGCTTCCCTGTTTAAACAATGCGTAAGATCCGCAACCGATCACCACATTTGAAAACCGGATATATTGCTCAACTTGGAGAGGAGAAAAATAGGAGAGGGGTATGCAGCCACCCTATCTAAATACTGAGGGGGAGCTGATACCAAAAGCAGAGAAGAGATTACCAACCGGCAGGCTTAAAAGTCCCTCTTTATCGGGGGCCGTGGTCACTAAACAAAGAAAAGGAGGATGAGCTCACTATACAGGAAGTGAGTCAAGAATCAGACACAGTACAGAAAGTTCGGGTTTCTGACAACTAGTAAAGGAGAAGAAAAAGGAAGGTGGCCATGATGAGAGAAGGAAACGAGTCATGTTTTATGCCAATTAAGTTAGTTTCCTGAAATAGCAAGAATCGTAAAACAGAACCTAAACTTATTTCTCAACAGAAAATGTGATGCCTTAGCTGAAATCACTCCTAATCTGTTAGTAATAAAATTTTTCTTCTATTTCCCTCCAATAAGAAGCCATCAGAAAGGAAATTTCCCCTGGTTTTCAGAACACATTGAATTCTCAAAGGTCCCTGGTCTCTGTATGGGCAATTTCATTACCTTGGAAATAACTATGTGAACCTGGAGGCTTTTCTGGGCTGGCAGAAAGTTCCAGGTGTGTTACACCCATAACGCCACCATGCATTTCAGAAATCTGTCTTGTGCAGTACTGAACGGCCATTTCACTCCAATTTTGTTCTCCTTTTATTTTACTAATGCTTATTAAGGCCTCTGTCATCGTGCAGACTGGCTATGGTGTAAATAAAGTATGAGGAGATGACAAACATAATTACCTAAGTGGGGCAAACAATCTCACCTGTGAGAGCTAAACTGCTCGATCTCTGCCCTGGAAAACTCAAGGTAAATAAAAGCACAGGAATGTCACTCCTTGTTCCAAACACCCAGACCTGAGGCCAGAGAGGTGGCCACCTCAAGGAATCTTGGTTTGTACTTCTGCCTTTCAACCTAGAGCCGCAAAATCAGCTTTGCTCTTTGTAAACCAAGCTGAACATCAGCCTTTATTGTATAGTATTCTATCATATAAAATCATCAAACATTACATTTCCTTCTGACTTACATGAACGCAAAGCCTTCTGGAATCTCTGATTGAAAGATTTAAGAATGAGAACCAGCACCCTGGGAATTATGTTCTTACTAACCCTTCCCTGAAGGAACTACATTCAGATTCCTACTTACCCTTCATCCTTTGCGCCTCTCACCATCCCCATGGCCACCAGTTTCATCCAGGCCACCATCACATCTTGCCTGGACCAGTCCACCAGCCTCCACTTTCACCCACCTCTAAGTCTGAGGTTAAATACCACTTCTAGACTCATCTATCCCCTCTCCCCTTCTCCCTCTGTGGTCTGCAGAAAATTGGCCCCCAAAGATATCCACATCCTCATCCTTAGGACTTAAGCCTATATAACCTTATATGGCAAAAAGGGACTTTGCAGATGTGATTAAATCCAAGATCTAGAGATAATGAGATTTTTCTGGATTATTTGGGCGAGCTCAATGTAATCACAAGTGTCCTTATAAGAGGGAGGCAGAAGGGTCAGAGAAAGAGATGTAAGGACAGAAACAGAGGTCAGAGTGAGTAGCCATGAGCCAAGGCATGCAGGCAGCCTCTAGAAGCCGGAAAAGGCCAGGGACAGATTCTCCCCTAGAGCCTCCAGGAGGATCCATCCCTATCTACACATTAATTTCTTCCCAGTGAGACAGATTTTAAACTCCTGACCTCCAAAACCATAATACAATACATTTGTGTTGTTTTAAGCCACTAAGTTTATGGCAATTTGTTACAGCAGCAACTCCATGTCCACCGGCCTCGCCCACACCACCATCTAATACACCCCCATTAGATGAGGTCTCCGTTGCCCACACCCACTGCACCGTGCTGTTGATAGAGCCCGTTTGTCATTCAGACGGCAGGCACTGTGTCCACCCCCTCACCTATGTACCCCAGCCTTCTGCACAGTGCCTGACACGCAGTGAGAGGCCAAAATCAATGATGGCTGATCAAATGAATGAAGAATGGAAGGAAGAAATGTTGGCACTTCCAAACCACACATACAATGTGGATGAGCGGTGTTAAGTAGAAAACAGCTTGACATTCCAGCAAGACTAAACAGCGGGTCCTCCAACACAGCAGTGCTCTGTTCCCACCTCCACACCTTCTCAGATGTTCCCTCAGCCAGCAGCGCCCCTCGCCCACCCCCCTACGCCCCGCCATCTGCCTGGGAAATTCCCATCCTCCTCAGTCTCAGCTCAGAGTTGCCTCCTCCGCGAAGTCATCCTGGACTCCCCAGGCAGGCTCAGCCTGTCCATCTCCCCACAAGCCTATAAACTCCTGAGAGTCAGAAAGCTTCTCTTAATCACCAGATCTCTATATCTCGGCACAGTGCTGGCATAGAGCAAATAATCGTTTTCAGTTGTTGCTGCCGATAATTCCTTCAAACTATAAACAAAAGCTCCATCGGAATCACCACCATCCTCAATAACAAGCATTTATTCAGCACCAAATGGGCATGAGGAGCTGTGTGGTAGCGGGGATAACTCACGATCCCCCCCAGCTCGAGGAGTGACAGTCTACTTAGGGACCATATTCCATAGCATCAGGCAACAACCATTAGAATGAAGCCTTGTTGGGTGACAAATGATGGCCCTGAGCATGGAGGCCAGTTGGAGCTGGGTCTCCTTCACTGACCTGCATCACGGATGGTTCCAGGGCTTCTAGCATGCCTGAGGCTGGGCAGAACAGGGCTTGAGAAGGGTCTTTTCAGGCCAGTTCCTGGTTCCAGTTTGATATAAGACTGTCTCTGGGAACAGAGTTTGAACAGCATCCACCAATCCTTGAGTTTCCAGAGCACCAGGAAAAAAAGGCAGTTTCAGCCCCAAACTTGTCAGCATCTGGGTGACCTTGAAACTGCCACTTAGTTTCTCTGCTTCTTTATCTGCAAACTATGAATAATAATGGCCAATTTTTTGCACCCCCACAGAATTCTCAGGAACAGCAAAGGAGCTGCCCTGGTTTACTGATTGGACTATATTTCTAGATATCAGGAGTACTGGCAGGCACCTAAGAATGTTACCAATCATTCGTGCGTTTGACTAAAAATGGAGTTGGTTGCTTTGGCAAAGATGGCTGCACATTTCAATAGCCGGAAAGGGATTTGGTTTGTGCCTTTTGCTTAAATTAGGTAAGTTTTCGAAGGGTGTTTTAATGAATCCATTTCTTCTCAGAAACCACAGTCGCTCTCACTCTAATACAAAGTTGCCTTGTGACCTGGGATGTGCCACTGGAGCTCTCTGTGCCCGAAACAAACAAAGAAGCAAAATTGGCCAGATGATGATGACGACAACGGGACATCCTACCACTTCCTGGGCACGTACTTTGCGCCTGTCATTCTAATCAATGCCTTGCTTACGTCACTGCACTTGGTCCTCACCACGAGCTATTATCACCCTCTGTGAGTCCAGATCCTCCCAGAAGCACACACCAAGAGGGGACTGAACATTCATCGATCTTAGTCGGGGAAATGCATGCATAGGAGAAAATGGGAGACGGTCGGAGGCTAGCACGCCCAGCAGACACACCGCGAGTCTGTCCCCGAGTGAAGGAGAGGGAGAGAAGGATGCGTGTACGCGTCCTAGACCACCTGCAGCCTAAAGAAGGCTCAACACGGACGCCGCGGAGTTCTCCAGCCAAAGTCGGCCATCTGTGTCTCCCAGGAAGAGGCCTGCCTTAGGGTCCCCACCGCACTCGGTCACCGGCTGGCGGCAGCCCATGGGAAACGTGCTCACGGTGCCAGCCCACAGTGGACTGACCCAGCAGCAGCTGGAGCTCTCGGCCGATTATACTCCCTCCGGTGGGAGCCCGCAAGGCGCAGCCTTGCTCACGGCCACCAAACACCCTCGCTTTGCAGATAAAGAAACTGAGACCCAGACAGGTTGAAGGACTAAACAGAGGTCAAGTGGGCAGAGAGTGGTGGAGCTAGGATCAACATGAGGAGAGTCAGACCTCCCAGTCAGTTCTCCTTTGAAGCACGGGAATGGGAAAATAGGAACCGAAAGGAATTCCTGGTGGAATGGACCCTTTTATGCAACTCAGAAAGGCATTTGTCTCAGACGAGCATAGAAATCTTTTTCAATCTATGAGATTGGCAACTTTAGCTTCCTAGAGGTGACATAATCTTTCGCCATGGAATGAATCAATAATGATGGGCCGCCCCCTGCTTTACTCCAGTGGAAACACGTCCAGTAGCACAAGCACTGCCGAGAATTGAGAAGAGATAGGTTGGAAGACAGTATCCCTCCCGCTGATTTTCATTTTAACATGTTCCCACACAAACATTAGCTCATTCCATTTTTACCTAAAGGGGGATGGAGAGGAGGACACGTATGGAAATCTGCTTTCTCTTTGGTGATCGAGTTCTCAGTAATTTTATATTAGCCGAGAATGCCCATGTCCTGTACACTTTACTGCAGCATCTGTTTATGAAGTCGATCAACAAACATTTGAGTTTGCCAGGCACAATGCTTGGCACTGAGGACATGTAAGTGAATAAGACACATCCCTGCCCTCAGGGTCACTGAGAGAGTTGACAAGAGAGTTGACAAGTTTATCTTCACGAAACCTTCCATGGAGGGCAGGGATCATTATTTA